CTTAGCCATTTGCAAGATCGTTTTTGTGGCTTCTCACTGCCCATAGCAGAGATTCTCAACATGGACAAAGCACTGTTCTCTAGGATAGTGCTTTAAAAACTCACCACAGAAATCTATGCATTTTACTTCACAACATAGCACACCTACATTCTTCTATACATATTACTGAAGCAAAGGTTTCTTGAGTAATTCTTATCTTTAGTAATTGTGATATACTCCTTTTCTCTTTCATTAAATTTTTTTAAGGGGGGGTACCGGTTGAGATTCATTAAATTGATCTCACTTCCCACGAATGCTGTGGTTCTCAGTTTTGGTTGCACATAAGAATCATTTAGAAAACTTAAAAACAATTTTCAGTGCTCAGGCCCCACACTAGAGCAATTAGAATCACAGAGCTCCTCAGGTGAAGGCCTTCCTAAATCTTGGCTCCTCACCATTTCCTCCTTTGAGCCTCACCTGGGAGATCTAGACCTACTTTTCTTACAGCAAGTCATTCTGGTTTTGCATTTATTTGCATGTTTATCTTGGACTATAAATTCCTTGAGGGCAAGAAGCTGTATCTTACCCATCATGGTACCCCTAGCATGCAGCACACAGTAGCCTTGTCCATAAGCATGTGTTGAGAGCATAAAGGCATAAGTGAAGCAGAGCATAAACCATCTCCTTCTCTGGCTTCCTGCCTCTTTACCTTCCTTCCTGGCTGTGCTCTTATTTCTCACTGCTCTTGTTTTGTTTTCATTTACTGGCCCTTCTTCCTCAGCCCACTTCTGAAATAGCAAAACCGCCCTCTGCCCTGCCCTTTGCCGTCTCCCAGCCTGGGGATCTCGTCTGTGCATATGGCTGCCGCACTCTCCATCAGCTGAAGGCTTACAGAGCCACGCCCCCAGCCCCCACCTCTCTGCTGAGATCCAGAGTCTTCTCCTTCTGCTCTTGGGATAGGGCCATGGTTGAGAGCCTGGCTCCATGTCAAAGGCTGCAGGAACAGACTTAGTTTCTGGCTCAATCACCTTTTCTCCAACTTGCTTAAGATCTTGGTTTTCTTCATTGGTGAATTAGGGATGACGGGTGGTAATCCAGTTGGTAGGGTTATTCTGAGGATTAAATGAAACTGTATTTAAAACTCTCGGCACAGGGTTTGGCTGGCACAAAGTTAAGTGCTCGATAATTGTTAGGTGCTATTACTAGACAGCTCTGTCTGAAGGTCCTGCGGATCCCCTACATTGTCTGAAAACAGCACCATCCCTCTGACACCTGTTTTCTGTTTCCAAACCTTCAGGCATCCTCCTCAGGTAATGCTAGAACCAGTGGCTGACACAGATGTGATTTAGGGCTGCACAGGGCCTTCAGGGGACCCTTGGCATCTCCACAGCCTTCAGCATCTCTCAGCCAGACGGTTACAACAACCCTTCTTCCCACCAGGCTCACTCTCTTATCTGAACCCTATGGGGTCGGCTTCTGCCAGAGTGATTTTCATAAAACGCAAAGTAAATCGGATCACATCACCACTCTCCTCCACTGCTCACTGCTTTGCTCCTTCCCCAGCTCACTACCCACTGAGGGCACTTAATAAACTCTAAGGTAACTATTAATCCTCTGTGTGTCTCCCATTTTCCAACCCTCTTCCCCAGCTGGTGAGTTCACTGACAGTAGGCAACTTTTAATTTTTTCTTCCTTTTTTTTAAAAAAAGATTTTATTCACTTGAGAGCAAGAGAGAGAGAGAGAGTACAGAGGGAGAGGGAGAAGAAGACTCCCCGCTGAGCAGGGAGCCCGATGTGGTGCTGGATCCCAGGACCCCGAGATCATGACCTGAGCCGAAGGCAGACGCTTAACCGACTGAGCCACCCAGGCACCACTAATTTTTTCAATGTAGTTTTATTTCCTGAGCTACCAGCCCAAGGCCTTACAAATAGTAGGAACTCAATGATTTATGAATGAAGGAACTTTGGAATTAGGAGACAGTATAATTAGGTCATATCTTTGCTCGATTTATTTGGTGTGAGTGACTGGTAGAAGAACATGACTCCATTGCAACTTGAGCATCTTGTGTGATGCTTTGTGTTAGAAGTTGCAGCATGCTGTAACAGGTCTCGGGAACAGGAACTGTCTTACACTGTGTATTGTCTTCTGTTGTTTAAGTTGTGTGTACAAACCCACTTAACAAACATTCCTTTGGGTACTTCCTTTGTACCAGGCCCTGGGCAAGGCATAGAAGCAAATGGTAATAATACTACAATAATGCTTCTAATTATTCTGTCCCTCCTCTATTCTGTACCTAAGTTGGCTCATGAGATCAACCACCTCCTGAATATGAGTAAACAGAGGCTCTTATTTAAAATACCTTTTCTAAGAGAATATAGCAACTAAGTGGGAAACCATATTTGAACCAAGGTCTGCCTTTATTCCTATACCCATTGCTCCTCTCAAGAACACATAATACCTCATAGGTACCAATTGTTGAGTGCCTTCTCTCTCTGAGGTGCTAGATATCTATTCTTAGATTTAATTCTCCTCTAACACTCTGCAAGGCATGATCCCCATTTTCCTGGAGAGGAAATGGGCTCAGAAAGGTCAAGTAATCTGCGTAGGATTGCAGAGGAGGGTGGCAAGTGGTAGAGCAGAGATAATCACTCAGGTCTGCTGGACCGTCAGGCCCCATTCCCTGTCCACTTAGCCTATGGCATGGTCTAGCCAGAGGGCAAAGCTGTTCTTGAGTAACAGGTTCACCATGGTAAGTGCAGGTGGGAGAACAAGGCCAAGGAGCTGCTGCTTCAACAAAGGAGGGATGGACACAGCTGTTCAGCTGGGGGTTCCAAATGTTCTGATGATATCAATGTTACACTGTTAAGTTATTCATTCATTCATTCATTTGTCAAATATTTTTGGGCCCTTCAATTTGTTATGCATACCAGTGGCAACTGATATAAACATAGGAAAGACAAAGGAACTTTTTAAAAGAGCTCCTGGTCTTTTTAGGAGAAGGGGATAGAAGGATGAGACACAGAAACAAATGGCTGTATGAGACGTAGGTGCCATAACAGAGCTTGTCACCAGGTGCTGTCCATCAGGCGTGGACGTAAGCCAGAAGCTCCACGGAGGGCACCACGAGTCCATCCCCTCCAAACTCCTCCCCGGGCCTGCAAGGCCCTCCAGGATCTGTCCTGCCAACCTCTCTCACCTTCTGTGCTTCTGCCATATACACTTACTTATGGTTCTCAAGGTGACTAAACTCGCTTCTGCCCCTGCCACAGGGCCTTTGCCCCGACTGTTCCCACTGTGCATCACAGTCTCTCTCTCATACTTCGCTCGGTGTCTCAGTGTACTATCCACTTTGCTCAGTGTCTCCCCTTCAGGGGGTGCCTTTCCAGATGGCCCTCCCCATTCACTCCTGTCCCATGATCCCGTCCTCCCTCTGCTCCCAGCTCTAACCACGATCTTAAGAGCATGGGTTCCAATCTCAGTTCTGTCATTTTACTGGCTAGGTAAGCTTGGACAAGTTATTTAACCTCTCGGCATCTCAGTTTTGTCCTCTGAAAATGGGGGGTTAACAGTGATGCCCCCACCTCCCAGTGAACTGCTGTGGGGCTTCACTGAGCTTATCTACGTAAAGCATCAATAGTGCCTGGCGCATAGGAGAGATGCGATAAACATAAAGTGTGTGAATCTTCCCATCGTGTGCCTGTCTGGATCTGACTACAGAGACTACAGAACACAGTCTGGGAGTGCTACAACAACCAGGCCAGCATAGCCTCTGTCCACAGGGAGCTTGCTTCCTGCCTGAACCCCCCTGTCCACCCCCCCACATGTATTTGCCCTGTAGCCTTTCGCCTGGAGGTCACTCTTCCTCTTTGTTCTCCTTTCTAGCCTCCTCACCCCCTGCTTCCTGCCTGGGATTCACGGCTTGAGAGGACACAGCAGTCTGTGCACCCACATGATTTGTTTGTTGCTTGTGGTTGTGTTCCTTCCTTTAGCGGTAGACTTCATTGGAGGTTTGGCTGGTGTGGAAATGGTAAAATCTCACCAAGGAGGTGAAAAAAAGCAGAATAACAGCTAAAGGCCCACCTCTTGGCTTTCTTCGTGTTCTGTGGATGTTTTGCAACCCCTGGAACTGCCCATCCCCCCAAATCTGCCTGCTTTCTCCTTGCCTAGATATCACTTCCTCTCGGAAGTCTTCCCAAGGCCATGGGCTCTGGAGTGGACCTCGTGCACACATATTTCACCGCATGGGACTGTCTCCACCCCTGTCTCCCTTACCAGTCTGCATGTGCTATAAGGCCGGGGCCATGTCTTTTGTCTTATTCACCATGGGATCCTCAACCCCCCAGTACCTTCCTACCGTTAACAAGTAGTGTTCTTTACGTACATAATGAACTTAGAGGACACAAACCAATAAAGCAGGTAAATTAGGAAGCAGTGGCTTGTATTGGGTTACAAAAGGCCTATTCACTTTATAAAAGGAGTTTTTGCAGGGTTCCATTGAGTAGCAAGTCAGGGGTATTGCTATTAAAATAACCCCCAAATCTCAGTGGCTTCACACACACACACACACACACACACACACACACTTTCTTGATGATGTGACAGTCATTGCAAGTGTCCAATGTGTAGCCTTTCAAATTTCAAATCTTGTAGTTCCACTATCCTTTATGCCTTCTGCTGGGCCCTCTGCTGGGTCCTCTGCATCTGGCTGCCGGATGGGGAAGGAGAGAAGAGAATCACTCAAGGGGTTTTCTTCTGGGTCATACCTGCAAGTGGCACATAGCACTTCCTGTCCCATTGACTGGAACTGTTACATGGCTGCCCAACTGCTAGGGAAGCTGGGAGAAGTGGTCTAGCTGCACGTCCAGGAGGAACGGGAATGATGTTTTGGTGAACACAGGGCAGTCTCTGCGCCTGGGAGCATACCAGAGCCAGGAGGCCCCTGGGTAAAGTCAGGCCCTGTCAACCTGCAATGGGTCCCTGAGGAAAGGAATTGCACTGATTTTCTGTTTTGATTTTGTAGACAAACACATGTGATCAAAATCTTAATCATTGCCTTGAGCTCATCGAACAAATTTCCAAAGTTCAAGGACAGCTCTTTAGGATCCTCACTACGGCAGCCCAAGAAGGTGAGAATGGCCTGTGTTTCCCCATCTGGCTCTCTCTTCTTTTGCTTCAGTCCTTGGTACTCTCTCACTGTGTCACTGAATTTCTTTCCCTGACCTGATTTATGGGTTCTTTTAGGTGGACATTATGATGGTGTGGAAATAATCAAATCGCGCCTTCTGCCTTGGCTGGAGGCCTCCTTTACTGCTGCTTCCCTGGGAAAACCTGTTGACAGCAAGGTCCCCTCTCTACAGGTAGGGACGCTAAAGGATCCCCCTTGACTTTCAGCACCCCGGTCAGGCTCTGGGAACTCAGACATATATAAGAGATGGCTTTTACCTAGTGAGGGACTCAGCACTACTTAGGGATTGGGGACACAGGTCCAAAAGGTGCGTTTCTGTTTACAGTAGTAAGCGGCGTAATGGGTTGAGCTTCTCTTCAAAGAGGCCTGCGTTCAACTCTCAGCTTTGCCTACTTCCCAGCGGTGTGACCTCAGACAAATCAACGAGCCTCTGCTTCCTCAGCTGTAAGAAAGGACTGGTGATGTTCTACATCTGGGACATTGCCCACATTCGGCATTAAATGGGAACTTTGGAATGACAGATTAGTGACAAAGACAGTTAGGGTACACGGAGCCTCAGGAGAGACCATTAGATGGGGGAAAGCACCATATTCTGAAAGAGTGAAATGAAACGAGTTGAAAACTTAGTTCTCAGAGACTGACAAAGAGTATTGTCATTTGCTGTTGCTATGGGGTGATTTCTGTGGGTTAGTGTCAGGTTTTAGACAGTTGAAGCCCAGACTGGAAAGAGAGCATACACCTTGCTTAAGGCATTAACATCATTAAGCATTAGTAACCTTGGTTTTGCATGTTTATATGGATTTCCATAAATTCTTTTCTAAAATTAAAGTATGTAGAGTGGTCTTTTCTTAGCAGCCTTAGGGGTGCAGGGGTGGAAGGGTTCCTGCTTGGAGGTCACTGGGCAGAATTCTGGTCGCTCTTCTATGGTCCTGAGTCTGTTGACTAACCTTTCATGTCTCACTTGCTGGAAAGGAAACAATGCTTTTGCTGACCCCCTTGGGCCATTTTGAGAATTAAATGTGATAAACATGCAGAAACAACTAACATAGGCTAAGTATTCCATAGACATCAGTTGGTTTTAAGCAAATTTTTCTCCCCTGGGGATTTTTCACATGTTGCTGAGATTTTTACCCCGTGGGTGTTCTTCTGAGTATAAAGATATGAGATGATATTTCAATGGCTTTTTAAAAAGTTGATGTATAATAAAAAATTGAGCTATAATTTACCTGCAGTGAAATCCATAGGTCAATAAATGCATATATCCATGTAACTCACACCCTATTAAGTTATAAAACATTTCCATCTCTCCAGAGCATTACCTTGTGCCATTTCCCAGTCACCTACCCACCCCCCCCAACCAGGCAACCACTCTTCTGATTTTTATCATTCTAGATTAATTTTGCTTGCACTAGAACTGCATATATATGGAACTATGCATTTGTGTCCTTTTGTGCCTGATTTCTTTTGCTCAGCATAATGTGTTGCAACCCATCATCTTGTTTCATGTATTCAAGACTATTTTTGATTTGTGTATCATTCCAGGACACATTTGATAAGGAGAGACATAAAGAGGCTGGTGTTCGGGATCGGGACATGCAACAATTAGACTCTGAGTTGACTTTGACTCATAATCAACTCAACCAGGTTCAAGACGAGTAAGAGGAATGCAAGTTATCTTTTTCCAAAAAGAATTGTTTGTTCTTAATTTTTAAGTTTGAAAGGAGAATAATGGCTCATGTAAAATGTAGACATCTGCAAATAACTCTGTGTGTGTGTGTATGGAGAGAGAGAGAGACTGAGAGAGAGAGAGTCAGACAGAGAGTAAGGAGCCAGTGTCTTTGAATCTGGGGATAAGATTTCTATATTATAATAGGCTACCTAAGACCCTGCTCCCCTTGGCTCCATCCCTGGAGCTCCTCCTTCTCTAGAGGCCTGTTATGAGTCTATATATGTAAACAGGGGAAGATTGTTATATGATAATCTCTTTTTTTTTAAAGATATTTTTTATTTATTCATTCAAGACACAGAGATACAGAGAGAGAGAGAGAACATGAGCAGGGGGAGAAGCAGAGGGAGGGGGAAAAGCAGGCTCCCCGCAGAGCAGGGAGCCCGATGCGGGGCTCGATCCCAGGACCCTGGGATCATGACCTGAGCCGAAGGCAGACGCTTAACCATCTGAGCCACCCAGGCGCCCCTGGTAATCTATCTTTTGAAAGAAAAATAAGATGCAAAAGGGAGAGGGTTAAAGAAGGTCAGACAAAGAGTAAAATTAAGGAAAGAGAGCAAAAGTAAGATGAATAGGCTGCATCCGTCTGTCAGATGTGCTCATTTAGAGGGTATAAACGCCTGGCTGAGAAGTCAGACTCTTTAAAGAATGAGCATTTCAAGATTTTGGAATAATTAGTAGATATAAAAAGTACTTTAAAGAAGTTAAGCAATGCCAGGCAGCAACAGGTGTCAGATGCCAAGCCAGGGTAGCAAGCTCAAGGAATCACTGCAAAGAAAATTGCAAGCCTTGGGTTTGCACTTGAGGAAGACAGACAAATGTGTCTGAAACTGCATTCAGCCCACCTAGCCAAAACCCATCAATCGGATGTTTCTCAGTTGGAGCCTTGCTCCACTGCGGACATGTATGGGGCGGCAAGGAACTCTTTAGTTAGGGCTTGTGATGGAATAAGTTGTGGCATGCTGCCTTGTTCTCTGATGAGATTTCCTTTTAAGGAAAGCATCTCTACTGATATAGTTTTGCTTGATTATAAAAGTAATAAAAGTTTCCTTCTCAAAATGCATACAACATACGAAAGTGGCAGTATCATAGCCAAGGGGTTTATCTGAGGCACGATTATTGCTAATTCAAAATGCATACAACAAATACAAGTGTAAAGGTGAAAATCACCTGTTATCTCATCCCGGTTAACGTTTTGGTTTATTTTGCTCCAGACATTTTTCTTTGTGTGTGTTTGCATGTGTGTGTGTGTGTGCGCACACACACATAGACACACACACACACAGTTACCTCCACACCCCCCATTCATTTCCAATTGGAATCATTGTCAATGAACAGTTTTATGGCTGCAACCGTCAACATTTACAAATGTAATGAGCAAAAAAGCACAATCGTCTGAATTTCTGCAACTTATTTCAACTAATATCAGCTGATTTGGAGTGAGGTGAGGATAATTAAACTTACCATTTCTTTTCTGGTTTACTATACAGTCCTTTTCCTGTAAATATTCAGTTAGTTCCAAGTTCAAACTTCTGTTAGGGGCTTTTTTCCCCTCCTCTCCAGGAGTCTCCTCAGCCCTCCTCCTTCCCTAGACTGGCCATTTAGAAGTAGAGGGATGCTTGTGTGCTTATGAGGGATGACTCAAGCTGGAGAGGAGAGACTTTGGGTCTTGTGCTGCTGTATGAGTTCTTGCTGCCTCGTTTCCAATTGGGCAGTAGAGTCTTGTGCCAAGGGGTGCTGATTTGTGGCTTGTCTGGTTAAATCTTCTAGAGAATTTGCTGGCAACTGCGGCTGGCCAGGCCCTTCCATTTGCCACTAACTGTGAGGCAGGGCTTCAAGACTTTGCTGGTTCTTGACTTCTATTAGCACCAAGAGGAGCCAGGAATTCCTTCCTACCTCCCTCTCTTATCATTATGGCTCTGTAAATAGCCATCAGGAGCATCAGGGGTCAAGGAACTATGACTGCATACTTTTTGTAAAAAAAAAAAAATTATTTGGAAATAATTTCCAATGCAGAAAATCTGTAAGAATAGTACTAAGAACACCCATATACACTGTCATGTATGTTTCATACTATTTGCTTTATCCTTTGTGTGTACACTTTGTGTGTATCCTTTGTGTGTATACATATATATATATATCCTCCCCTCCCCCCACCAAACCCTGTGCATCTCATTTGAAAGTGGCACAGATGAAGGTGTTTGCTCCTTTACCTTGGATTTCCTAGTTTGGTTTGGTTTTTAACCCACCTGTGGTTCTTATTCTTTTAAGACATCAGAAATGATGCTGTCTGTCCCCCACACTCTGTGGTAGCTAGGTCTCTCCTTTCTCTCTTACTCTACCTGCTACCTGCTATGGAATGAGTGGCCCACCAAGGAGATTCCCCATGTCTGACCTTGTGGAGCCCAGATTGGTTTTGACTCAGTTACAAATGGGCAAATTCTAATACAGTGCTCAATGGGGACAGGTCTGCCCAAGTTTGATGAATCCTCGAAAAGGAAGATGTCTAGATTTTATACTCGGGATCTGGTTATGAGTCTCTGTGTCTTCATTTCCTATCTCCAATCTATTGGCAAATCTGGTTGAATCTACCTCCTAAACATCTCCCACTCTTGTCCCTTTCTTACTATTCTACCACCATTGCCCAGTTGAAGGCCCTGATACCTGTTGCCTCAACCAGTTGCCTTCCAACTGGCTACCCTGCTATCATTCTTGCTCTACTATAATCCATTTCACACATAGAAATTTATAAAGTCAGACCCTGGCTTAAAAGCTGTTAGTAGCCTCCTTTTACACTTAGAAAAAAATTCTAAACTCCTTACCAGGACTCTTGTAGCCCTGTGTGATCTGGCCCTGCCTCTCTCTACACCCTCATCTCATGCCAGGCTCTCCTCACCTGGTCTGTGGTCCCCTTCCTCACCTTGCAGGCTTTGCCTGTGCTCTTTCAGAAACATGGCGGTCCCTCTCTGGTTCTTTGCATGGCTGATTCTTTATTAGCTTTCAGGTCTCAGCCGAAATGTGACTTTCTCAGTCTTTCTGTGACCATGTATATCGAAAGGTCTTTCCTTCCCCCCGCTCTGTAGTTCTCTTTCACAGTGATCTGAAAATAGCCCTTACCACAATTTGGAACTTTAAAATATTGGTTCGCAAGTTTCTGATCCACTAGACTAGAAGCCCCAAAGGGTTACTGTCTTGTATCTGTTATTCTGACACTGTTGTATCCCCAGCACCCAACATCATGCCTGCCACATGATATATCCTCAATGAATGAATAAATCCCTAATAAAAAATAAGTAAAATAGGGCACCTGGGTGGCTCAGTTGGTTAAGCGACTGCCTTCAGCTCAGGTCATGATCCTGGAGTCCCGGGATCGAGTCCCGCATCGGGCTCCCTGCTCAGCAGGGAGTCTGCTTCACCCTCTGACCTTCCTCCTTCTCATGCTCTCTGTCTCTCATTCTCTCTCTCTCAAATAAATAAATAAAATCTTAAAAAAAAATAAGTAAAATACATTAACTTGCTTAAAATAATGCTTGGCACATGAACGTACCTCCCTTTCTTCTCTCTGTATATCATTCAAGGGTGCCAAATTAGCATGTACGTGTGGTTGTATGTACATGTGTTCACACAGGTGTGCCATGCCTTAAGAGAAAAACATAACTACTTTATTCCTGTTCATACTCTCCTTCCTTTCTGGGTCTGTTTGCTCCTTTTAATTTTCTACAGTTTTCTCTTGACAAAAATGTTCATTTTCTTCTCCATGTACACTTTAAAAACCCTGTAACATAGTCACCTCTGAATTAAATCACAGCAATTTCCTCTTAACTGCCAGTAGCCCTATTATGAAGTTATTGCTACTTTGGCATTTGTTAAAAGACTTTAGACATTGTGTTCATTCATTTTTCAACTAAAAAAATCTCTACTGTGTTACAGGCACTATTTTAGGTGTTGGGGATAAAAAGATAAAAAATAATTTTTGCCCTTAAGTAGCTCACAGTGTATTTGTAATGAGACTGTTAGTGTGAACCAAGTGTTGGAGGTGCTCCGGAGAAGGGGAGACACACTTGGCTTGAGAGAGTCAGGGATGACATTTGCATGAGCACTCACAGGTTGCGTGGGCACTTGTTAGGGGAGGAGGAGGAGAAGGAGATGGGAAGGAACACTGGGTAATCACACCAACTCTTGCATTGCCTGATTGGTCGGGATCTGTGGGGACTTGGTAGGAATCCTGCTAGCTCATCATTTCTCTATCTGCTTCACTGTCTAGGGGAGGACCCCAGTGTTTGACCTTCCATTCTTCCATCTAAAAGGAAGGAAGAAGACAGGTGTGAGTTTAGATAGCGACTGCAACCTTTCAGCCTCAGATGAAAGAGCCTGGATAGTACAGGGAGGTAGGGTCCAAGAAGTCAAGAAACCTTTGCCAACCTATGATCTCTTGCTGGACTAGGGTGACTTAACTGAGAACCACTGGTCTCCATCCAATGTCATCCATACACACCCATTTCTTTTTAAATTTTAGATAGACCTAAAGAAATAATAGGATTTGTTATGATTTGCCTATAATGAAGAGAGTCCTTGAAACTCACAATGACCTAGCTATGTTGAAAACTCAGGAAAATCATGCTCAATAAGTGGTGGAAGTTAGAGGCATGAAATACTTGGTAGTCAAGTGTGATTGTGGAAGACTTTCTTTGTAGGTGGGCAAATAATTTTTTCTTCATATGTAGGAAGTCTGGGAAAATTAGATCAAATGCAACTCTATGGTGCAAAGTAATGAGAATACTGCAGAAAAGGGTATTGGGATATTGCAGAAAATGGAGATTTTATAGGGAGAGGCAGCCTGAAGATTTGGTGTGCTGAGCAGATGAATTAGGAGGGTGAGAAGGAGGAAGTGAACAAGTTTCTTTGCCCTTTACATTCTAACGTTAATAATTATTACATAGCTCTTTAGTGGTAGCCACTCTATAATGTCTTCACGTTTGACATTGAGAAAGAATGCTAGCATGCTTTTGCATACAAGCGCACCATAATATTTGCAATAGTATCTGATTGGATGCAGATGTCTCATAATTTGATCTTGTTTTTGTTGAACTTATATCATATGCCAAAAGTTCCTGGGAGAACCTATGCCTTGATTTGGAGAGTCTGCCAATTTTGGAAAATCTGTCTTAAGTTACTGATTTCTCTTACAGTCTGGCTGAAACTGAAAAGACTCTTGAAGAAACCAAGAACAGATCGGCCATATCCCTTTTGGCTGCAGAGGAGGAAATAAATCAGCTAAGAAAGCAGTAAGCAAAAAAAAAAAAAAAAAAGACAGGATTATTGCAGTCTGCTGATTGATCTTTGAATTTAGCTTTTTGGTACTCCATTACAATATGAAAGAAGCTGTTCACAAAGAGGAAAGGCAGCAATAGTTTTATTAATGTTTTATATAATTTTTTTCTTACTACAAAAACGCTGTCTACTATAGAAAAATTTCCAAGTACAACAGTATAAGAGGAACCCAAAAACCCTCTCAAAATTCCAGAGCCAGTTATTGTTACCATTTTGCTATTTCTTCCAATTGATACATTAAAAAAATAGTTATTACTACAAAATCAGCATAAGGATACAATTTTGGACCCCATCTTTTCACTTAACATTGTTTTTCTCTATTACTAAGAAAAAATAGTGCAAGACTTAGTTTTAAATACATGCATCATGTTCCATTATTTAGATATTTCCCTAATAGTGAGCATTTACTTTGATACTGATTTTAAACATTGGAAATAACATTGTGATAATTATTGCAGCAAATGTTAGTTTAAATTTCAGATTATTCTCTAAATATAAATTTCTAGAAGGAGAGCATAAACACATACTTTAAGGTTATATCTTCCTTGAATTTTTAAAATCAAAGTATAGTTGACACACAGTATTCTATTAGTTTTAGATGTACAACATAGTGATTCAACAACTCTGTACCTTATGCTACGTTCACAAGTGCAGCTCCCATCTGTCACCTTACGATGCCATTACGATATCAGTGACTATATTCCCTATGCTGTGCCTTTTATTCCTGTGCCTTACTTCTTCCATATGCGGAAGCCTATGCCTGCCACTCCCCTTCACCCCCTTTACTCATCCCCCCACATTCTCCCTTCTGACAACCACCAGTTTGTGCTCTGTATTTATGGGTTTGTTTCTGCTTTTTGTTTGTTGATTCATTTTTTTTTTATTTCACATATAAGTGAAATCTTATGGTATTTGTTTATCTCTTTCTGACTTATTTCACTTAGAATAATACACCCTAGGTCCATCCATGTTGTCACAGATGGCAAGATCTAGTTCTTTTTTATGGCTGAGTAATACTCCATTGTATGTATATGTATATATATTGTGTGTGTATACATATATAAATATATATATCATATCACATCATATCACATATACATATATCGCATCCTTATCCATTCATCTATGAGTGGACATGGGTTGCTTCCATATCTTGGCTACTGTAAATAATGTTGCAATAAATACAGAGGCGCATATATCTTTTCAAATTAGTGTTTTTGTTTTCTTTGGGTAAATACCCAGTAGTGGAATTATTAGATTTCAATATTTAACTTTTTGAGGAAACTCCATACCGTTTTCCAGAGTGGCTGCACCAGCTTGCCTTCCCATCAACAGTGTACGAGGGTCCCCTTTTCCACATCCTCACCAACACTTGTTATAACTTCTTGTCTTTTTCATTCTAGCTATTCTGACAGGGGTAAGTGGGTATACCTTCATTGATCTTAATTTTGATTTTTCCCCCCAAAAAGCAAGTGGGGGTTGTATTAAAACACACCCATGCACGCACACACACACAAATACCTTTTTGCTGCCTTCACACATGTTCCATTGTTCTGATTTCTTTGGGAACACCCTCACTGTTGTAGTTGGGAGCACTGCTCTGTTTTCTACTTCTATCTCCCCCTCACCATCATTTTCTTTTCTCTCTCTCTCTCTTTTTAATTTTATTTGCATTTATTCAATGCAGAATTTACTTCCGGGTCATACGTTTTTATTTCTTCAGTTTCTTCTGGGATATCTTTTTCTTCTGTGCAACCTCCTGTTTTGGTTTAGGGACAATCTGCTCTTTTTCAGTAAGGACCATCTCCATGTGGCAGGGAGAGCTCATGTAGGGGTTAATCCGACCATGAACCTTGTAAATTCTTCGCCGCATCTTGGGGGCTTTGTCCACCTGGGTTGTGCTCCATGACCAGAGAATCGACATCAAAACCCTTAAGCTCAGCATGACTCTCTGCCTTTTTAAGCATATGCAGTAAAAACTCAGCACTCTTCCTGGGCCCCCGACCCTGTGTGCAGCCCCACTGTTTGGCCTGGGCACACCTACCGGGTCCACCAGTGTAGCGACCAAATAGCACACATGGCTTCTGCAAAGTGACGTCCTTCAGATACTTCGTGGCTTTTGGGATCTGCATACCCTTGATGGCCTGGGCAGTTTCACATGTGTTCTTAAAGTGAACATGAAGATTTGAACCTCCTGATGTGGATGATTTTGTAGGGTTTTCTGGGTTAAGCGAATAGCGGGCCATTTTCAGAGGTCACCTCAGGCCGCTTAGGGGAAGAGTTCTCACCATCATTTTCATCTCTTATTTCCTACTTGATAGAACTTCTCAGATTCTTTGACCCTATAATTGAGTGATTTCCTGTAGCAGCGATTCTGTTCTTTACCGTTTCCAGTGCAGCTTTTAATTCTGCTATTGCATTTTTAGCTTCTCTGTGTCCTTCTTAATCTTAGCCCTTACCTTTTCATCTTATATCATTGTCCTTTTCATCACAGCACGTTCTCTTTGTGTGGGTTTGCTCCTGTTTTAGGTAGTCATGCCTCTCTGCATCTTTATAAGGATGCTAAGTTTATTTCTGAAGCTTTGTCTCTAGAATACATTATTTGTATAAATTCACCCTTCCACCTAGTATTGTGGATGTTATTCCATCTCTATTGTCATACTCCACCCCGCCCCCCCATTCCATCTGTTCAGAGAATCAGAGAGCTAATGAAGATAGGAGATTGTATCTTTGGCCAGCTTCTGGACCTAGGCTTTGGAGGTCTGATGCTTCCAGAGTTCTGTGCAGTTAAGATCAGCCTAATATAGAACAGGATGACTATAGGTCCACTCTGCTTTTGCTGGAGGATCTGCGTACATACTCCTTTCTCAGGAGCCTTTTTTCATGCAAGCTGCAGACGTGGGGTGGCACTCTAACCCTGGTAATTCTGCTCTTTTCTGAATTGTGTTTGTTCCTCGTGCGTTTCCATCACAGTTGTCCAACGCAGTAATTGCTTTGCTGAGTAGAGTAGCCTCTGTTGTTAGGTATGCCAGTTGTTGCTATTACCTTTCCTCCATCCTTCCCTCCTTCTCTTTTCTTTCCTCCTTAATTTTTGTTTTCTGTTCAGGCTTAAATCTCTTCAAGTCCAGGAGGAATCCCGCCACCGAAACGTAGAACATAGAAGTGTGGAGCATCGGTGTACGGAGCCTAGAACCTCAGAGCCGAGGACCTCTGAGCAGAGGAGGTTGGACCAGCGGGGCATTGACAAGTGGGGCGTAGAGCAGCGGACTGAAGTGATTTCTGATTATGAGAAACAGCTCCGAACGCTAAAGGACGAGATAGCTGTTTTGTCTGCTGAAAAATCTGTGCTTCAAGGAAGGTCTGACAAATTCTCACAGATCTTTTCATTTAAGTTCCTTTTGGTAGTGGTAAAAACGTGGCTTGGGAAAAAAAAAAATGAAATGACATCTTGCACCCAAACCCCCACAATATGGGAAACTTTGAATTGAAAGGGATTGTTTTCTCTAACTGCCCTCTTCCAGAGAGAGAAAATACCTCCTGGATTGTCAGTGCTTGGGCGCTAATTAATTTGGGGCTGACATGGAAGCCCAAGGAATGAAACTGAGAGATATGTGAGATGAGAGGATAGTTCTTTGGCTTGAAAGCAGATTTGGGTGGGCCTGTCATACATGCATGGTACCCATGCCAGAAGAATGTTCCATAATAGGAGGGTCCTGTTCTCTGAGGCCGGCCAGTCCCTCTCTGGGGTGACCACCTGTCATTTTACTTTCTATAGCTCATTTTGTCTGATGAAGTGTGTAGGTGAGTGTTCTTGTGACATCCCTCTCTACTGATGGACAGAATGTTAAGACAGGTCATTCGGAGTTACGTGAGGACAGAGCGGGACGTTTTTCTTGGAGCATTTTCCTTGTTCTTTTTAACACCCACCACCTCCCTCAGCCCCACAGCATGCCCGGATCCAAGCTATCAAAGCCACTCCCACCCTGGTCCCCATTCCCCTAAATGCCACCTTAGCCTTTCATTCTGGGGAGTCACTCTGCCATGTTGTGCTGGTACTAGCTTGTCCTGGCTCCCTAGAACTGATTCTGTGCACGTCTGCCTCCCTCCAAGTTCAGTGTGATGTCACATTCATAGCTCGAAATGGGTCGCGGCGGCAGTGTTTCTCACACCATAGAAATTGGCAGACTACTGTTGAGGGTTTTCGCTTCGCTCCGCTCCACCTTCAGGGCGGGCTTTGTAGAAGAACCGTTTGCTTCCTAGTATCTTCTACGCTTCCCTCCTTAGGGACCCATTTCCTTTAGAATTTACTTTGTACTTGATAGCAATACCGTTCATTGATGCCGTGCTTTACAATTCACCGAGCACTTCCACCTGTATTAGCCCACTGGATCTTTCAGGCCCTCCCTCCCAACCAGAAATACGGCGAGCATGTTGTAGGTAAGAACTCAGACTCTGGAGGGGAGAAATGAGCGCGAACGGTCCCACTGCTATAGAACGAGAACGCAGATCTTCTTTCTCACGGTTGAGTGTTCATACGTTCACGTATCAGCCTCTGATATGTGAGTACCCCAAGGCTGGGGTAAGAAATACTGAGAAGCTGGTCTTTCTCCCTCTGGCTCTTGCCACCAGTGTTACTTTCCTTTTCTGAGCCTCTAGTTCTTTGGCCTTGAAATGGCCAACAATCGATGTTGAGCTCGAAGGGCTGCTTAAAGGATAAAATGAGGTGCAAATTCCCTGTGCAGATCCAGAGCGGATGACCGCGTATTTGATGCCGGGCAGAGAGGCCGCGGGGGGCGGGGGGCGGGGGGCAGCTGCTTTCCCTGGTGCAGCAGGGCGCACGGCTCCTGGCAATCACTTGCAGGTCATGGGCCGGGAATGAGAGAGAAGCGAATCAGAGCGCTTCTCCGGCTGGTTCTTGCTTACCAACAGGTCCGCCCGGAGCCGGACTCCCAGCCCTGGCCCTCGCAGCCACAGCCGCAGCCGCAGCCGCTCCACCAGCCCCGCCACCGCGGTCGTAAAGATCAGGAGCCCGTCCCCGAATCGCGCCAAAATGTCCAATGTGGCGCGCAAGGCTGCCCTCCTGTCCCGGTTCAGCGACGCCTACTCCCAGGCCCGGCTGGATGCGCAGTCCCTGCTGCGGCGCTGCATCGACAAAGCCGAGACCGTGCAGCGCGTAATCTACGTCGCCGCAGTGGTAGGTGACACTCGTGCGGCTGTGCCCCAGAGGCCCGTGCGCCCCGCGGGGGGCAGCACGGGCGTCAGCCGAACGGGACGGCCTAAGGGACTGGTCGGCCCTGAGGCCACAGACGGAGGGTGGGATTTCCACTTCCTTCCCCCCTCCCTCCCTCCCTCCGTCCCTTCCTTCCTCCCTCTCTTCCTTCTTTCCTTCCTCTCTTCTTTCCCTCCTTCCTTCCTCCCTCCCTTCCTTCCCTCCTTCCTTCCTTCCTCCCTTCTTTCCCTCCTTCCTTCCCTCCTTCCTTCTTTCCTTCTTTCATTCCTTCATTCCTCCCTACTTTCCCTCCTTCCTTCCTCCCTTCTTTCCCTCCTTCCTTCTTTCCTTCCTCCCTTCCTCTCTTCTTTCCCTGCTTCCTTCCCTCTTTCCTTCCTTTCCTTCCTTCCTCCCCTCTTTCCCTCCTTCCTTCTTTTCTTCCTTCCTTCCTCCCTTCTTTCCCTCCTTCCTTCTTTCCTTCCTTCCTTCTTTCCCTCCTTCCTTCGTCCCTCCCTCCCTTCCTTCCTCCCTCTCTTCCCTCCTTCCTTCTTTCCTTCCTTCCTTCCTCCCATCTTTCCTTCCTCCTTCCCTCCTTCCTTCCTTCCTCCCTCCCTTCCTTCCTTCTTTCCTTACTTCCTTCCTCCCGTCTTTCCTTCCTTCCTTCCTCCCTCCCTTCCTTCTTTTCTTCCTTCCTTCCTCTCTTCTTTCCCTCTTTCCTTCTCTTCCTTCCTTCCTCCCTCCCTTCTTTCCCTCCTTCCTTCTTTCCCTCCTTCCTTCCCTCCTTCCTTCCTTTCCTTCCTTCCTTCTTTGCTTCCTTCCTTCCTTCTTTCCTTCACAAATATTTGGGATGGCTAATTTTTCGCAGTCAAGAACTATCATATATATCAATATTTATATTGATCAGGCATTTGTTGAAGAAGTATCCATAAATAGAGGATTATCTCAAATGAATATATACTATGTTGATTTGCACCGAATCTTCCAGATGATTTCCTTTCCTTCTCAAAAAAAAAAAAAAAAATCAGAAGGCTGTTAACTCTTCCGTTTATTGAGCTAAGAGAAGTTACTAAACTGCTAGTATGTGAGTTACTTGAGGATGGCAGATTAAAAGTGCTCATATATAATCCTTAATTCTCAAAGCAAAGGTATTTGTTCTGTGGATACCATACTGAGATACTAAGGGTCCATTTTGAGAAATGAGAACAGTTAATATTTAAAAAGAAAATGAAACACTGGTATGAGACCAGAATTATTAGAGTCTACTGAACATTATCCTGAGTTATTAATTTATTTCAGGACTCAGCAAACTATGACCTGTGGGATAGATCTTGTCCTGGTCTGTTATTTCCTTATTTCTAAGGAAAATACCACCTGACAGCTAGGAATATAAGAATGGTTTTACATTTTTAAACGATTGTAAAAAAAAAATATGTGACAAGAGACTGTATGTATTTTAGGCAAGCCTAAAACATTTACTCTCTGGTTCTTTGCAGAAAAAAGTTTACCAGCCGTGATTCATTTCATTAAGAAGCTGGTTAAAGTTCTGTAAGCTTAATGGCCATGCCTTTCATGCATAACTGAGTTTCCTCAGTGCCTGCCACATAACAGGCATTTAATAAATATTTGTTGAATTAATATATGCCAGGAAACATGCCAGATACTTGATATGTGTCTTTGTATAACATAAACACAGATTGATAATTTCATTTCTGGACCAGTAATATGACATTGTGGTGGGATCATAGCATCAGCCAGCACTTTTTAAAAAAAGATTTATTTATTTATTCGAGAGAGAAAGAGAAAGAGCACAGGGAGAGAAGCAGACTCTGCTAAGCACAGAGCCCTACATGGGGCTCGATCCCATGACCCTGAGACCATGATCTGAGCCAAAATCAAGAGTCTGACGCTTAACGAACTGAGCCACCCAGGCGCCCCTAACCAGCACTTTTTAAGTGTTTATGTGACCACAGATGATCTGTTTCCTTGAACCTCTGCATGGTGTTGCCTCTTGCACTCAGGATTCCCAGGATCAACTGTCTTGAAATTAGTGAACGTGCATAGTCGTAGATGTGTTTATGTACTTTTCAAAATTGAGGTATGTATTTTCTCCCAGATTAAAATTAGTTTTGACCAACTGTGTTTAGTGATCAGAAGACCCATACGATGTTGAATTTTTGGTGGGTATTCTTTCTTCATTCCTTGCTTTGGATTTCTTTACTCCCCTTCCTCCACCTAATAAATTTGCTGCATTTTTACGTGCAGGAGGCATTCCATGTAGCTAAAATGGCATTCAGGCATTTCAAGATCCGCGTGAGGAAATCGTTGACACCATCTCTCGCGGGGTCGAGTAACTTTGAGGATGCCGTCTTGGATTATATCATTTGTCATCTCGATCTATATGATTCCCAAAGCAGTGTTAACGTAAGTGTTGGGTCTCTTAGTAGGACTGGTGTGCTACTGCTGCCCTTTACGTGGAATACTAACACCTCAGAAATCCACCCAGTGCTCAGGGTTGCTTTTACGTAACGGGATAGCAGAAAGGAGCAGCATCCAGTTGACTTTGTAGAACCAGTCATTATCGGCCGTTTCTTAGACATTTTATGCGGAGAAAAAATAGTCTGACCTTTATAGTTCTATTCTCTCGATGGGTTCTTAATATTGGAGATAGAATACCATAGTGCTTAAGAGCAACAGCTTTGGGGAAGGTGGGTGTCGATTTGCATCCTGGCTGTGCCACTTACTAGCTGTCTGACCTTGCACATTTACTTCACCTGTTTGTGCTTCAGTTTTCCAGCCTTAAAATGGGAGCAACAATGTCCATGACCCCCGCAGAGTTCTTGAGAGGAAAAACAACAAGTAATTTGCTTAGCACAAGACTTGGCACATAGCAAACACCCAATAAGGGCAAGCTACTATAATTGCTATTATTCTACACTATGAACAAGTTGGCACTTCCTATACTTGCCCAGAATAGAGAATTGAGGAAATAAATAAAACCCACTAAGGGTGTTTGCTTTAGTTTTTTTTGAGGGGGGGGATTCTCTTGGCCTTTAGTATGCCATCTGTCCTCCGCATCATCTTTCCTCCTTCCCCATTAGTGAGTCTTTCTCCTCCAGCACATGTGCGACTTTCCTAGTTTACAACGTCTTTACCCATGTGCTCTTTCTCCGCCCCGCACCTGACATAACCCCCTTTGGATGTCAGAGCTTCTTGTCACAGGTTGGTAACAAGGTGATGCCATCTTTTTGTTTTTCAGGATGTGATCCGAGCCATGAATGTCAATCCCAAGATTTCATTTCCTCCTGAAGTTGACTTTTGCCTCCTCAGTGACTTCATCCAGGAGATATGTTGCATTGCCTTTGCCATGCAGGCTTTAGACCCACCCCTAGATATTGCATTTGGGGCAGATGGAGAAATTTTTAATGATTGCAAGTAAGAGACATTAGAGCAGAAGCTAAGGGATTTTTTTTTTAAATAATAAATAACCTTTTCTCTATTTCCTGGAAACAATTTAGGGAAAAGAACCCTGGGTGGGGAAATCAATAGACATGACCTGACTTCCAGGCCCTGCCATATACTTCTCTGTGCCACGGGGCCGACCCCTCTCCTGGGGTCATTTTCTTTCTCAGTCAAATGTGATTCAGAGGTGATGTAATCATTTCCATTGAATGCATTGGAAAGGTCTTGGGGAGAACTAGTGAGTACCTGGAGCCTGTCTGGAACACTAAAAAAAGGCGCTACATACATACAAATGTGTATTACTTTTTACTGGTTTCTACTGCAGTATTTAGGCCAGGTTTCTCAAAGTACGGCATAGAGATATATCACTTGTGTCAGAAGTACCCAAGTCTTGTTTAAAAGGCACACCCCATGATATTTTATGCAGTAGGTTTGGAGTGGGCCTCAAGAATCTGACATTTAAGAAACACCTAGGTGTTCCTTGTGCACACTAGCACTTGAGACTCTCTAGGTCCATTAGATTTCTATCAACTTTTTTTTTTTTTAAGATTTTATTTATTTATTTGAGAGAGAGAATGAGATAGAGAGAGCATGAGAGGGGGGAGGGTCAGAGGGAGAAGCAGACTCCCTGCTGAACAGGGAGCCCGATGCGGGACTTGATCCTGGGACTCCAGGATCATGACCTGAGCCGAAGGCAGTCGCTTAACCAACTGAGCCACCCAGGCGCCCAGATTTCTATCAACTTTTACATGATAAATGTTTCCTATATAAATTAGAAGAAATTAAATTAATTTAAAACATTTTACTGAAATTTTATGGGCTCTTATGATACAGCTGGAAATTACTGGGAGGAGGCCAAGCTAGTGGTTGAGAACATTCTGAGGCTTGAGGCTCTGGCATCAAGCTGCTCGGGTTCAAATCCCAGCTCTACCACCAATTAGCTCTATAATCTGGGGCATGCTACTTAATTTTTCTGTTCCTTAGCTCCCTCTCTGTCAGATGGGGGAAATAATAATACCTATTTCTTAGGGCTGGAGAAGGTTAGTCGAACTCATTCAGATAAAGTACTTAGGACACTGCTTGGCATGGGGGCGCCTGGGTGGCTCAGTCAGTTAAGTGGCTGCCTTCAGCTCAGGTCAAGATCCTGGGGTCCTGGGAATGGGCCGCACATCAGGCTCCCTGCTCATCGGGGAGTCTTCTTCTCCCTCTCCCTCTACTCCTCCCCTCTGCTTGTGCACTTTCTCTCTCTCTCTCTCTCAAATAAATAAATAAAATCTTTTTTTTTTTTTTAAAGAACACTGCTTGACATGCATTGAGCACTCAATAAATGTTAGCTCTTGGTCTTTGTTCAGTCTATAGAGTTATGGGGTGGTGGTGGCCCAATATCTCTACAAGTTATGGATGACAGAGACTACATACATTTCTTTTGCTTATCCAAATCACAATGATGGTGTTTCCAACTGCCTTCTAGCTTGCCATATTTTCCTGCCATTGCCCTGTTTCTAGTTTCTTTCAGATCATTCCTCCTAACACGTGTCCACTCATGGAAGAGCTGCTATTAGAACATTACACTGCAATTGAGCTTTTTGATTTCCTTACAGAACATATTCTCTTCATCCCCCTTCCTTTATTCCTTTCTCCTTTGGAGAATGCATAGAACCACTCAGAAATGTTCACCCAATTTACTTTATGGAATCTGCACACTTCACAGACCTCTGGGGTCCTCCTGCTTCCATGCCTTTAATCAGACGGAAATTGTTGCCTCTTGGTGCACTCTGTAGCCTGTACCTCTGAAAGGCTGTTGAGCTGAAACTAGAGCTCCTAATAATGACTATTTGGTTCTACTTCGAGGACTTCATAGAACAAGTTTTTTTTTTTTTAAAGACTTTATTTATTTATTTGACAGAGAGAGATAGCAAGAGCAGGAACACAAGCATGGGGAGTGGGAGAGGGAGAAGCAGGCTTCCCGAGGAGCAGGGAGCCCCATGAGGGACTCGATCCCAGGACCCTGGGATCATGACCTGAGCCGAAGGCAGATGCTTAACGACTGAGCCACCCAGGCGCCCCGTAGAACAAGTTTAATCCTTAAAAAAAAAAAAAAAAAAACCCACAAAAAAGCAAAACCAAAAAAACCTGACAGCCTTTCACATATTTGAAGCAATTATTCAAATCTTCCTACTTCTGGCCTCATGGCTTTGGGTTTTTCCATATAAAGGGGATTTGAGACTTCCTGATAGATCAGTTTCTTTGGCCTGTGTTCCATGCTTTTCTGAGTATTCCTTTTTAAGTCTCCACACTAGATGTAGTCCTCTGCTTTGAATGGAGCAGCTTAGAGAGACTAATACCCTTTCCATTCTTATTCTCTATTAATCCCGCTAATCTGTACTAGTGTTTTCTGTTTTTGTTTTTTGTTTTTCGGTTATATAACACTGTTGTTGATCATTCTGAGTTCAACTGAAACCTGTTATTCTTACTTGTACTGTGATTAAGCCTTTTATTGCCTCTATCTGTGCAACTATATGCTTTTTGGACTCAATTATAGAACCTCATACGTATCTGCACTACATTGTGTCTTATTAGATTCAGCTTATTGTTCCTGTTTTTTGAGCTGTTTTTTGATACTGTTCTTTATTTCTCTTTTCCTACCCATCCCTAGCCTTTGAGTGGTTTATCTATAGTTCATGCAGGTCATTGATGAACATGTTACTTATCGAACGATTGAGAGAGAGCTGAATTCAAGGTCTTATTGACTCATTAATTATTTCACTTTGGGTATGATCATTGAACCAGTTTCTAATCCATCTACTTAAGTCAATCATCCACCTCTATTTTTCTTATTTTGCCCACAAAGATAACATGAGAAATCTTTCAGGGTGCCTACAGGATTTCAGATGGTCTCCGTCTCTAGTGTTTCCCTGACCTGCAACTTATAATTCTGAGAAGGGAAGGAACGAGTTTAGTCTGACAGAACTTGTTCTGTGTGAGTCCATGTTGGGTCCTTGTTATCACTGATTCCCATTCTAAGAGCCCACAACCATCTCTTCAGTAACAGAATCAGGATTCATATTCATCTAGACTGAGCATAATAGAAAATGAGAATTTACACTGATGTCCTCCAGTTACACTACATCATTGCTTAACTTCTCTTTTTTGTTCTTTTGTGTGTTTAAAATAGGTACCATCGCAGCTATGACTCTGATTTCACTGCTCCCTTGGTCCTCTATCACGTGTGGCCTGCTCTCATGGAGAATGACTGTGTCATTATGAAGGGAGAAGCTGTCACCAAGAGAGGGGCTTTTGTACGGTGGCCTTGCATAGTGACAATTCATCCCAAGTGTTTGATTCACAAGTTCGAGAACATTTCTAAACCCAGAGATTCTATAGAGGAAGTCTAAAGAGTTGCTTGATAAGGCTTCATACAAAGGAGGGGAAACGGACTGGCTGGAAAAGAAGAGATTCTTTTCTTTAATTCCTCCATGATTCTTCATAATTTCCTGGCAGTAACTTCTTTGTCTGTTGCTTTATTTATAAGATGGAACTAGTCATATTTGGTTCCTCCATCTTAGAAATATGCTATCATAAGGGTAAAGCTCTTTGAGCTCATCTTATTGGAGGCCCTCTATAATTCTAAGCATTGGGAAGGGATCAATTAACTTTCAGGAAAACAGTTGGCCAAATTTTTACTGACCATTACCCATGTTGGAAACGATGAATGTACTCTATTTTTCTCTCCTTGGTATGATGTGTAGGGAGGGGGAAGGGATGAAAAAAAAGAAGGTAGAGGAGGTGGGGAGAGAGTAGCCCAACAGTTTTGGAGGGTTGCTTCCTATATGCATTGGTTGTAAAATGTTTTGGACATGGTAAATAATTGGGCAGCCTTCAAAATGGAGTCGTAATTATGAAAGTGTATTAATGTGTGTGGTGGTGGGGGTTGGGTGGCCACGGGGGCTTGGATATTCTGTATAGTTCACACAATGGAGTTTTTATCCTGCCCCTCCTAGAAAGAATTAAGTGAATTCTAAATGGAAGCTATTCAGTCCAGCGCAAAGCCACCATCTGGGTGGGCTCAGTTCCTGTTCTCTTTGAAGAAGAGAATAGGGAAGTGCTTTAATGGCAGTTTTTCATAATATAAGGAAGAACAGGAGTAGAGTATTTTAAAAGAACTTAAGGGTTTTTGCAGCTGAAACATTCCACTAGAGTGAATAGTATCTCAATAAAATATTTTGTGCTATGGAAGTTGAACCTACAGAAATTGGGTTGGGTTGATCTGACAGCCACACATGGTCTATGATGAATGAGCTCATAAAACATGCTTCTTGCTCCTGCAACTATCACTTTCTGCTAAGAAACTCTAATTGTAGACCCTCTGTAGTGCAATTCGGAAGAGAGGGAGAGGAAATGGCCACTATTCGTATATTCTACATCAAATAGGCATTTAAACTTCCTTCTTCCTCTCCTCAAGCATATCGCCAACATTTACCCCAGCTTAAACTCCTAAAACAAAATGTGAAAATCCTAAAAGGAAGTACTTGGAATAAAGGAAAAAGTTGAATGAAGGGAAATTTGTGAGAAGGATTTTGCTAGTAAAATCTCATTATAGTGAATATCGTTTTCTTAGTCATTAATTTAGTTAATAGATGGGCAACAATGGTGACCCCCTCCCTCCCTCCCTCCCTCCCTCATTCATTAATTCATTTCATTCAACAATGTTTTTATGACCCAAGCACTGTGTTTAGGTGCTGGGGATTCAGCAATGAACAAAAGAGACCCAAATCCCTGCCCACATGGGGCTTACATTCTCTGACACTTGCAAGCTGGAATGTAATTTCTAACAATTTACTCATCAAAACAAAATTCTAGCACTGAGACTTTGAATATTCCAAAGTTCACTGTCATGGGATTTCATCTGAGAAATACCCTAAAGTTATTGTCAAATATTGGGCAGCTGTAAGATGTGAAAAGTGTGTCTCATGCTGATTGATCCCCAATAATAGGCCAAGTGTAATCATATCAGCAAAACCTCTCATTCTTTAGGATATGCATATTGTTTTAAGCCATGGTGAACTTTCACAAACTGCTATTTCTCTCTCTTTTTTTAGTGGAATTCAGTTCGATCTGTAAGTCGATGTCGAAGCAGGAGTTTAAGTCCCATCTGCCCCCGTAGCCGTATTGGTTTAAGCACGGTATATATCTAATATTTTTTACACAAAGCATCTTCTGGTTGACACTCTTATCTCCAATAATCACCTATACAAGAGGTGATTATAAGTCTGTATGTAGAAAGAGAACGTGTTGCAATAACCCCAAACTGATTTTTATGCTCCCTTGGGCTAAGGAACTTATCATTCTAGAAAGAAGGAAGTAGAGGTCATGTTTTTCTTAATTACTTCGAAGAATAATAGACTTTACATATTTCATAGTTTTATTTTTGTTTTAGAATGAAAATGAGCAATAGATATAGTCTTCTGAACAGAGGATGGGAGTGACCTAAACACAGGTCCTTGGTTCCTCTTCAACGTATTGCATGAGTTTTGGAGAAATTGCTCAAATGGTCTGGATTTCAATACTGTATAAAGGGCATTGCAGGTATTAATTTTCCTCCACGCTTCAAAGTAGGAAGAATAACACTGGCGTCCTTGTGTATTAGTTCTTGGGAGGATTACTAATACCTCTGTCAAAAAAAAAATAACAGCAAAAACATTTCTGAAAACCAAAAACATTATTAAGAGTCACCACTGTTGATTTATTCAACAAATAATATTTAGTCCATGCCTTTTGAATACCAAGACCTCTGGACACCAGATAGGCTAACAATTTCTGTTCCTTCGAATAAAAATTCTTGAAATATTTGCTCTATCTTGTTTTAGGGAGAGTGGTGGAGGAGAACAACAGCTAGGGCTCCACTTCTCTGAAATTATCTCCAGTAATGCAACTCTAGCTATAAACTTCTAAAACTCCCTCTGTAAAACAAAATCAAAAACAACCGCCCCCCCACCCTCCATTAATAAGGTCTAGTTTTCTGAGTTTAGTGAGCATCTATTACTTCAGCATGCTCTTTACCAAATATTCCTTCCTTTGTTGGTGGATGCTTGATTTGCAGAGGGGGGACACAAACATGATGAAAACACGGTCTCTTCCCTGAATGGGTTTCAATAAAGGAAGATCAATATGATTTAAACAAAGTAACTGAGTGTGGTATATGCCATCATCCATACAAGAGGCACGAAGGACTAGAGCCATGAGAGGAGGTAGGGACTTTTTCTGGACTTGGTAGTGAGGAAGGGGTTCATGGGCAAGTTGGTACTTGATTTGGCTTTTTAGATTGGATGGAATTTCAATGAGCTGGGAAATTAAGGAGGAATATCCAGAAAGAGGAAATAGCCCCAAATGGAAAAGACATGAATCTGACACAGATCTTTTGCTCTTAGAGATTTTAATATAACTTACTTATCCGTATTCATGAATAAGTATTTACAGTGGGTAAAAGCAAAAGGATAGTGCATTTAGTGGACTGAAAAATAAAAAAGAAATCTTGAGAATTTTATTCTGGAAAAGTCACAATCTCCTTATTCTAAGAGGACATGGCTTATTGAAGAGCAATATTAGACGCCTATAGCACTCACAGACATGGCAAATTTTTCCTCTGGACTCTCACTGGAAGGCTTATTGGTGGGCAATGTCCCTCTAACAAAGCCCTTATGCATGTTTCACACCCCGTCTTTCTCTTTCCTGCTTTGTGCCCAAGGAGAACCAAATAATTCAAACTTTAGAGGGAATAAAATACATTCTTTTTTTTTTTTTTTTTGAGTAGGCTCCACGCCCAATGTGGAGCTTGAACTCATGAACCTGAGATCAAGGGTCACATGCTCTACCGACTGAGCCAGCCAGGCGCCCCTAAAATATATTATTAATGGTGAAAGTGCTGCCCACTCTCTGCCCCTTTCCACCGTCCTCTTCTTATAGTGATTGGATACACCTGCAAAATAAAATACAAATATTTTTAGTTAGCCTGGTTTTTTGGCTTATTTGAGATCTTGATGCATCCAGAACAGCTTTCATCTTTGTTAGTGCCTATTTATCTAAAGTTTTTGAAAGCTCAGAGCAAGATGTTGCTTGTAGTCAGTTATTTCTGAACCATAACAGGTTTGTAGGGATAGGCGGTGGCTTTTGCTTAGTGAAAGCAAAGGTGAGATTTGGAAAATGATTCTTTTCTGGCTCCCCAGGGACCCTCCTTCATAGGACAGGGTTTTGGACACATGACATGATTCACATAAAAATCTGATAGAGAGTATTTGATCATTTTAGTTTTAATTGGTTAATTGTACTACTACTACTAATTATTTTCTGGAAAGCATTGAATTCAGTATGGCCACTGAGCATCCAATCTCAAAGTCTTCAGCAACTATTAAAACCAACAAACAAGCAAACAAACAAATGTAGGCCACTGAGCCCAGATTTTAATGAATGACATGATTTAAACCAAATTGATTGCCCATTTACTTCAGGACGTATAAGAGGAATCGCATTGCTCAACCTCAGGGATGACATCATAGTTGTAAAGTGCCTCAGAACAACTAACCATTTAGCTGGTTTTAGGAATAAAATGTCAAAGGGAGTCATTCTTTGAGGTCCATCTACTGTGTCATTCACATTACTCCTTTGTATTTTCCAGATATCTCGAAGCCGGAGCCCTTCTCCAATAAGATGTGGATTGCCGAGTAAGTGGGATGGTTTAGACAGCTTTTTAATGCTCTTTTTAACACTCAGCCCTGTGCAGCAAAATGAATGTTTCGCCTCCCAGGGAACATCTCTGACCTCCACCTCACACCTTCATTTCTGGGCCCTCCTGTTGATGGTGCCCAAGTGGGTCCCATGGGTGACATGGGAGGAGCCTCTGATTGAGAGGTTTTATCGATGTAAACCCAGATTGACCACCCCAGTTTCATTTAGGTCCTTCCAAAAGAAAGTCTAAGAAAGTGACCATAATCATGAACTGTTTGTTTTTCTCCCTAGGGTTTTAAAGCCAGCAGACATGTCCCTTTGCTACAGTACATCTGCCCCAGCTAACTTCCCCAGAGCCTGTCTCCTGTGCCTGCCTCAGAACTCACTTAAGATAATGTGAAAACGCAATTCTGTGTATCACTCCACACGGAGAGTTAAATGTTTTGGCTTAGCGTGTTTGTAACCTCAGATATATTGCATTTTATTTTATTCTATTATATTTTATAGATACAAATTCCATTACTTTGATAAAAACAATTGCATAGGTGTTTAGGATCATATTCATTGGAAGCAAAGTCCTTCAGGGTTTTCATCCTCAAATACTAGGCTCTTTTATGGCAACTGTAGAAACTTAAGTGGAAGATCTTTACCATGTGGAGTTCAAAAGATAGAGTCAGTTTAGCTTACAGATGGATCATAAATATTATAATTGCTGGTATTAGCTTAGAGCTTGAAAACAATATCGAGTGTTATAATTTTCTTGTTTGGAAGACAGCCCTAATCCCAGGCTGGGGAACTTGTCCTGGTAGCAGTGACTTCAGGCTACACGTAGATGGTGTTGATTTCAGAGAATAGAGTTCACTGGCTTGCTTCTCTTTTCCTGCTTTGAGAATGCCCTGTTTGGTTTAGTTGGGTACCAATGCCAAAGCTACTTACCTGACAGAATGTTCCTGCTTCATAAATGCACAGAAGTGATTTGGCTAGAAGCCAGCTTTGAGAGAAATGGTAATTACCTTGTGTTTATCTTGTGGGAATGTTTCATACAGTTTTAATGTACATGTTACATATAGAAGCGATCTGGACATGTGCTTTATCTATTCCATCTGGTTGTTTGCAAATTCAGACCTCCTAAGAACTGCATCTGACTAAAAATACCTAAATGCGGGGCTTAAAACTAGGGGTACCATTTATTGATTTTAAATTGAGTGAATATACCTTGATTTCTTGACTGTGAAGGACTATTGAAAAAGTTCAAATTCTAATGGAATGTAGCTTTCCCAAGATAAGTAATGTTTTGTCTGTTCCCCCCCCCACCACCACTTAAAATGGTCTTAAACACAAGCCTCACAAATGACTGCTTTCTCTGTGTGCCTTTTGGAGAGAAACTCTGAATTGGCCACAGCTTTGTCTGCATAAACTCAGTGCCCAAACTAGCACCTAGTGCTTTGTAGGTGAAAAAACAAAACAAAACAAACAAACAAACCCAAAGCAAAAACTTCTCTAAACCATCTTATCCCAGTAGTGCAATTGCTGGGTCATAGAGTAGCTTTATTTTTAATTTTTTGAGACATCTCCACAGTATTTTCCAAAGTGGTTGTACCAACTTGCAATTGCACTACAGGATATTTACCCCAAAGACACAGATGTAGTGAAAAGAAGGGCCATATGCACTCCAATGCTCATAGCAGCAATGTCCGCAATAGCCAAACTGTGGAAAGAGCCTAGATGCCCTTCAACAGATGAATGGATAAAGAAGATGTGGTCCATATATACAACGGAATATTACTCAGCCATCAGAATGGATGAATACCCAACTTTGACATCAACATGGATGGGACTGGAGGAGATTAAGCTAAGTGAAATAAGTTAAGCAGAGAAAGTCAATTATCATATGGTTTCACTTATTTGTGGAACATAAGGAATAGCATGGAGGACATTAGGAGAAGGAAGGGAAAAATGAAGGGGGAGGAAATCGGAGGGGGAGATGAACCATGAGAGACTATGGACTCTGAGAAACAAATTGAGGGTTTTAGAGAGGGGGGGTTGGGGGGATGGGTTAGCCCAGTGATGGGTATTAAGGAGGGCACATACTGCATGGAGGACTGGGTGTTATATGCAAACAATGAATTGTGGATCACTACATCAAAAACTAATGATGTATTGTATGGTGACTAACATAACATAATAAAATAAAATTAAAAAAAAAACCGTCTTATCCCTTGTGCTGGTAGCTAGACATGAGGAGAGACCTCCTCCATCCCTGTCCCTTGGGTCTAATGGTCACCAACTTCATTCTGAAGTGTGAGGTTGATTTTTCTCCCCCTGTGTATTTTTACATAGTCATCACATTGAGGCAATGCAGTTGCTGGAAGGAGGACTTGGTGTTTAGGTAGTTCCAGTTCTGACTTGGTCATCAGTTTGCTTTGTGGACTTGAGCAAAAGTTACTCCACCTCTCTGAGTCTCAGTTTTATTTTATTTTTTATTTATTTTTTTTTAAGATTTATTTATTTATTTATTTATTTATTCATGAGAGAGAGAGAGAGAGAGGCAGAGGGAGAAGCAGGCTCCCAAGGAGCAGGGAGCCCGACGCGGGACTCGATCCCAGGACCCTGAGATCATGACCTGAGCCGAAGGCAAACGCTTAACCATCTGAGCCACCCAGGCGCCCTCAGTTTTATTTTAGAGTGCGTAGGTTGGAGGAGATTAGTTGTTCTCTCAACCCTCCCAGATTCAGTGCCCCTTTATGACAAATATTTTGATTATTGTGAAATAAAATTCAATGTTAATGCATATATACTTTTAAATAATGAGTATAGTATCCTAACTTTAATACAAAGCAGAGAAAAGGAAAAGCAGTTTTTAATAACATGTATTTCAGTAAGAAAGCTTCGGTATTGCCATCCTAGATGATAAGATTAAGTCATCAGATGCTTACACCTGTAGGTAGTCATGAGCTACAAATGCAGGCCAATGTGCATTGTATTGGCAATATCACAAACAGCGTCAGTTATGATATTCTGAAATGATGGACAACTCCTGATAAAGTTTTGAACAAAATCTTAGTCATGCCTTGATTTACATAGTAAGCACATCTCTGGAAAAGTTAGTGTATGTTGACACCATGCAACTATTACTTTGTGTTCTGTGTTAAAAAACCTTTTCTAAAATCTAAGCAATGATAATTCATTTTTAGACAAGGGACAGAGGGACCATGAGGGCCCTGAGTAGGCGACTAGCGTCAGTGGGTTATGTAATGGGAAGGCTTTTTCCCCTTTGAATGGGGTAGTTGAAGGCATGAAAACCAGCTTTCACCTCTTCTACTGCTGTGTCTGGTGTGAGCAGTCTTACTGGCCAGCCAGAGTTCTCTCTTTCCAAAAGGCAGCCTCATCTCAGAAATGGTTGCTATAGCCTGGACATTTGTGTCTCCCCCTAGATTCATACGTTGAAACCTAATCCCCAAAATGATGGTATTTGGAGGTGGGGCCTTTGGGACATGATTAGGTCATTTGGGTGGAGCCTTCATGAGTAGGACTGGTGCTCTTATAAAAGAGACCCTGGAGAGCTCCCTCATCCCTCCTGCCATGTCAGCAAGAAGACGGCTGTCCGTGAAGGACAAAGTGGGTCCTCACCAGGCACCAAATCTGCTGGCACCTTAATCTTGGACTTCCCAGCCTCCAGACGGCAAGAAATAAATGTTTGTTGTCTAAAGTACCCACTCTATGGTATTTTTGTTATAGCATCCTGAACAGACTTAGACAGTGGTTACTTTTGTTCGAAGACCCATTTGTATGCATACTCTAGCCTGTTGCTACAAATCACTGGCCTTGATGTGCTATCAATGACTTCTGACCTTTCTTAGTTTGATTTGAAATTGCCCAGCTGAAAATAAAAAGGGATTGGGGTGGGTGGGGTGGAAAAATAAAAGAAAAACTTTCGGGTTTTCTTTGATTAGAAAAATAAATTTCTCCTGGAATTTTTAAGAGTGATAGTGTCATTCAATATTTATACTTCATATTGATAATTTGACAGAAAACTTAAGAAGACCTAACATTTCCTAGAAAATCCTCTGTGGAATACTAGTAACAAGTATTTAATCTGACATTTCCTACATGCCAGACATTGTGCCAAGCACTCTGTGTTATTAAACCTATTGTACAGAAGGAGAAGCGAAGGCTCCAGGTTATTACTAAGTAACCTAATCCCAAGTCATGAAGTTAGTAAACGTTGGAGCAAAAGTTCAAACCCATGTTTTTTCATGTTGAGCCCACCATCTTTTCACTGAGTCTGCAGGATGTTAAGATGTGGGATGAAAAAAGTATCTTGTGGCCCTATCCATTTGGAAAAAGAAGTTAAAAGGTGAGTTGAACCCATCTTTTCTGCCAGACCCCGAAGAGTCATTCATCATCTGCTGTTCATGGGAAACTTCGGGGAGAATGTCATATGCAGCACTCTGCAAATTTATTTCACTATGGAACCCTTGTTTCATGGCACTCTTGTAAAGGTATTGTTCTAGAAGACCCATTTCAGGAAATGCCTCTTTAGGACCTACGTATTGGGTTTTAGAATTACAGACGCTGCTGACCACTGGGAGTTAGCCTTTCTCAACTTTCACATGTGGAGGAAGAATCTTGATTTTATCATCTGTTAAGACTTTGCCCCAATAAATAAGTTCCTAAATAAGAAGTCTAAAATGGAAATCTCCTTTTATCTCTATTTTTTTTTTTTTGAGAGAGAGTGAGAGAAAGCACAAGAGAGGTGGGGAGGGGCAAAGAGAGAGAGAGAGAGAGAGAATTTCAACCAGGCTCCACACCCAACATGGAGCCCAACGCGGGGCTCAATCTCATGACCCTGACTGAGATCATGACCTGAGCCAAAATCAAAAATCAGACACTTAACCGACTGAGCCACCCAGGTGCCCCTATCTTTATTCTTTATACCTCTGCTTATCATTTCCTTTTGTCTTATTTTCTTCACATTTCTATTAATTGTATCATGAAATAGAATTCCCTTGAGCCCCATATCTATGTCAGGGTGGTTTTTCTAGCATTCGTGTTTTTCCTTAAATCTCTGACCATGTCACACCTTTGCTGCTGTTTCTACTTTCTCTCTCATTCCTTTCTACTTTCTCTCTTTTTCAGAGTTTCAGTTTCCTAGTTAATATCCTTAATGCATATTCATGTACACTTCTTAAAAACAGGCACCTAAATTTTAATGTCATTATGAATCAATGAAAGAGACAAATGGATATTATTCAAAATTAAAACACTGAATGGCATTCCATATAAAGATGGACATATCCTGATTCATATAATGCATTAACTCTATGAAAATTTCAAATAATTATTTCTAAAATTTTGAATATTTGCATTATTAGAAATGACACTTCTTTAAATTATACTTAAACTTTCAGTAAGTTGGAGCTGTCATCATATTTATGTCTTAAGTCACTTCAATAAAAAATGTTGACTAGTATTTCCCAAATTTGTTTGATGATGAAAGTCACTTGGCATGTTTATCAAAGACAGATTCTTGAGCTCCACTCCAAGTATCTGAATCAGAATCTCCAGGGGCATCTGTATTTTTAATATCAGCAGACAAGTTTGAAAAACACTGGTCTGTATCTGGCTCTAATGATCCATAAGTGAAATATTGCAGAAATAATTTATTGCACATATTATGTCATCCTTAGCTTTCTAAACGGAAAATAATGTATTAATTTAAAAGCCTCTGAAAATTTTAAATTATTGGCTACACTCTAGTAATAGGTAAATTATGGAAATTTAGCATATTCATTCTTTTTTCTGCACACATAAAAATATGGCCCATTATGGGCTATACAGTTAGATTTCAATAAAAGAAAAGGATGAAAAAGGATACCAATTTTATTTTTCTTCCCTAGAGGTTAAAATTGTCCTCTTTTGTATCTCATGTTTGGAAAGCATCTTTGTTGAGTTGTCAGAATATGTATTTCTTACTAAACTCTTAAGTTATCCCCTTCAACCCTGTAGATCTATGTTCACTGTGTGTAACTGAGAGAGTCAGAGTTAGAATAATGAGTCCCCATCGGCCATAGTTTGCCTAGTCATGGTTGTCTGCCAAATGGAGCTAGTCACCTGGATGATTCAGACTTAGGAACATCTTTATGATTATTCATATGAGTCTCTAGATAAAAATCTAAAACAGAGTGCAATTGACATCCAAATATTAGACCTCACAGATGGCCTACCTCCACTGGGATTTTCCCAAACATTGAATAGAGGACAGAAATTTGGCTCTTTCTGTTTACTTTGCAAAGTCCCAAATGACCCAAAGAGAAGATTGGAAGTGAACCTGTTTCAACTTCCATTCATGAAAACTGAAGCACTTTTTCTTCTTTTCTTCTTAGAGCCTGATGGAATCTCTCATCAAGGCAGTGTCTAAGTTGAAAAGTACGTTCTAAACTAGCTCCAGAAAAGAAATACTGATTTAGATGGGCCAAACGTAATCCCAATTTGAATGTGCCAGGATTTGAAATGTGTGGGCTAATAGGTCTAATAGAGATGCTTTGGTGGAAACGATAGATTTTTTTTCTTAATGTTTTCCT